CCAACTTTTTCCTCTGAGAAAAAGTTGGATCGTAATAGCTAAGAGATTCGGCAGGTGTGAAACATGTTGATTTAGTGACAATCAAAAATTTATTTCTAACAGTAAATTTCATAGTTTAATCGTGTAATAATGTTATAGCAAATATTAAACAACAATTATCCTACAAAAAAAAAGATATATCATTGTTGTGCCAAAACCCAATTATGTACCTTTACTGGGGCATACGAATTTATCACAACCCAGCCAATTTTCATACCTTAGCTTTATTATTAATCTTACAATTAGTTGACCATATTATCCTACAAATTATCTAATAGGTTTTCATTGCCCTACAGTTAGAAATTTTAAAATACCAAGTTTGACGAACAAATGTTATATCGCCGCGCATGCGCGTAGCAGTTTTTCGTGCGTCAGCTGTCCCGGGGTGGTATGAGTCGTAAGTCTCTTTCGATTTAGATATTCATACGAAGCTAACTTGTTGAAAAATTGTTATGGAGAAATAATTTTTGTTACAAATAATAACAAATAATTATGGAGTGTTTTTTGTGTAATTCTCTTTGTGAAGCATCTAATTTTTGGCTAAAAAAGATATAAAAAAAATGAAAAGAAATTTTTTTATCGAGTAAAACTTTTCTTGTTGCTCGAGAGCATCATAAACATAAATATCAGGACTTGATATTGCCTGAAAGTACGATGATATAATAGGTTATCATTCCTCTATCAATAGTTAGAAAAAACAAAATTATTTTGCAAACTTATTTTATCTACCCTTCAAAACACCCACCCACTCGTATATTCGTTTATCGATTAACTTATCGAAACAACTTATCGAAAATCGAGAGAAAAAAATTTTTTAGTTCAACTTATTCCACCTATTTTCATATATAATTTTCATTAACCTATTTTTTTTGTTTTCAAAAATTTCAATAAAAATTTATTTATGCAAATATCTATCTACCCAAAGTGATGTATATATGTACCAACTTAACGTATAAGTAAAATAAGAGCAAAGTATTAGCTGGATGGATGATCAACAAATTTATTATAATCGGAGTAGTGATAAATATCAATTTTTTCGTAGGGCACTATTTTATTTGGGCGTAATATATGTTAAACTACAATTTTTTATTTGTGTCTTTCAGTTAGTAATAAAAAAAGTGCCACCATGGAATTGATAATTTTCAAAAGTAGGTCTGAGAAGACCTATTATGTAACTTGTAGGACAATAGGACCATTTAATTAAGCTTAGGTATAAAAATGGTTTGGATTGGGGGACAACAATAATCATATCGTTTTTTGTAGGACAATTGTTGTTTAATATTTGTTATAACATTATTTCACGATTAAACTAAGAAATTGACTCTTAGTATTAAATTTTTGATTATCAACAAATCAACGTGTTTCACACCTGCCCAATCTCTTAGCTATTACGATCGACCTTTTTCGCAGAGGAAAAAGTTGGGCATCTTGTTGAAACGAAGCTGCATAGAAAAATTCAGCTTCCTATGAATAATTTGAAAAAACAGGCCCGGCCCATAGACTACTAGTATTATAAAAGACAAAATTTGAGTTAGATTTCCCGTTTTTCTTTATTGCTTTTATAAATGTTTACATTAAAAAATATGTACTATTTAAGTACGCCGTTGAAAAATTACATAATGGACTTCTGAGATATATTATAAAGAAATGGAAGTGTGCGTTTTCCGCATAACTAAAGCAGAATTAGTGCGAAGATATAAACTGCTAAATTTGAGGAAACTAAGAAATATTTCATCGATAATTTATCGATATAAAATAGTTCATAGTAAAATTGTTGATATAAATTTACTGTCACAAATAAATGTTCTCGTTTACAGAACCAGAATACCATTATTATTTTACTAAAATAACCCACGATTTAACAATTGCAGTAACGCTCCGATCAATGTGTAGACTAGCTAATGACAATCAGAATGCATTTGATATTTTGTAAGCAAATAAATAAGTAAATATCCTGCTTAACCGTGGGACACTCTGTATAGGTCCTCACATTCATTCTAGACGAAACAGTTAGATAATCTCGACATCTGAACAGTGCAGCACTTGCAACATTTACATTTCTATGTATGTATCTAATCTTACATATTTGCCCAAGTTCTGTGTTGCTGATTTTTTTTGGTACTGGTTCAATAAAATTATTTTTTTGTTTGAAAAGTATGTATTTCGTATTTTCTATATTAATCTTTAACTTCTTACTCAATAACCAGCTTCTTTTGCAGCTCTCTGCACCGTAACTACCACAAAATCATCGTCAAATCCAAAACTTCTGTTTGTGTTTCGATGCGTTTTTTTATAGCTTCAATTTGTTTTTGGACTCTATTGGGTATTCTGCCTTCTTTGTACACAAGTCGAGCCACTGTAAGCGATTTGATTGATCTATACGCATTTTACTTTTAAAAGTATTTAAAAATTTCCCTTCTACAAATTTTTTCCAAAAAAAAAAAAAATTAAAACTAAACCTTGTTGTCTGTGCGTTGTGATTCAAATGCTTTTTGATTAAATAAATCCATTTTAAAAGTCAGACAACTGGTTCGGCTTCAACCGTGGGAATTAATTTCGAAAACTCGTTTAAATAAAGCCAAAAATACGTGGAATCCGTTCAATTCCCGCGGACGCAACTTTGTTCAGAGAACGTTTGGTTGAAAAATGTATTTTCAGCCATAAGCCTACCTCAAAAATGTTTTTGCAACTTTAGCACTTGCCTCTTCGAAACCATTAAAAATTAATCCATTTTATTCTACGGCTTTATAGTCAGAAGCTTTTTGTTCTTAGAGAATGAAAAGCCAACAGCGCTTGGAAATAAAAAGAAAACGCGATTTACACTGAAAATATGGGTAGGCTTCAATAATTATTTAAATCGATTTCTTCTGGTTGTAAAAAATAATTGACTTATTTATTCACGAATTAAATATATATACTCGCATCGTGTCATCAGAACAAAATGTTTTTTTTTATTTTAAGCATCACATTGGGCTCCGGCCAGTTAAATTCCTTGCCTGGGATTACCGCGAGATGGTACTGGGCATTTTTCTTTTCCTTTTTATGATGATGCCAGTTGAATCATTTTATTTATTCATTTTAAAAAGTTAACCGAACATGCATATTGGTGTATAATAACGACGTAGTGAAGTGAACGCGTTTGTTATACTTGTTTTTAGGTTTAACTTTTGTGTATCACATCTGTCTGGAATCGGTATCGCCGACGTCAAGTTGCAATATCTTAGAAAAATCTCCATCAGGGTCCACGAAAATTTTAATTTGGTAAAAAAGTACTAGAACACGGTGCAACCTTGTTTAGAGTCTTTTTTATTTGTTAATTAATGACATATTTTAATCGCTCTTTTAGCGATCGGATCGATTTGGTCTCATTTCAAATTGTGCCTGAATGCGTTTGTATTTGTATTGCTAAATTTGTGAATTTTTTTTAAATTTTTTAAAAATTACTTTTATGATGCCCGTGTGAGAAAAACACCTGTCACATTTTATAAATAATTATTTTTGAGACCTTGACTTTGGGTTTGACTGACTGTAAGTGGAGGAGATTGAATTATACTATCCGAACCATTCTTTTTGTTTTGTTTGTGTTTATGTATCACATCTGTCTGGAATCGGTATCGCCGACGTGAATTTGCAATATCTTAGAAAAATCTCCATCAGGGCCCACGTAAATTTTAATTTGGTAAAAAAGTACTAGAACACGGTGCAACCTTGTTTTGAGTCTTTTTTATTTGTTAATTAATGACATATTTTAATCGCTCTTTCAGCGATCGGATCGATTTGGTCTAAATTTGTGATTTTTTTTTAATTTTTGAAAAATTACTTTTATGATGCCCGTGTGAGAGAAACACCTGTCACATTTTTGAGACCTTGACTTTGCGTTTGACTGACTGTGAGTGGAGGAGATTGAATTATACTATCCGTACCATTCTTTTTAACTACATTTAAGGAAAAACTTACGCTAAGACATGGAAAAAATAAAATTCGATAGGGTTTATTAAAAGCTTTTTTGTCGACTGCAACTTTTTCATGTCGAAAAAAAATTATTTTGTAATGAACATTGTAAAAATCGAAAATGTTTCCTCACAAACGAGTGTTTTCTTATTTCTTAACGTTTGATTGGATAGTGTTGTGTTTATCAAATGAACTGTTTAATATGTGCACGGAAACCCTTCACTTACAATTTTAGAAAAATAATTCAGTTGGGTGTTGGATTCTGACCAACATTTATCAATTACCTTTTAAAGAATTACATTTTAAAAATAATTAATCAATTAAAATTTCTGAAAGTAAATATACTACAAGCTTCCAAGGGATGATGAGAAATGCTTGAAGAAGTGACAAAAGGCAACAAAGGCAAAAGTTTTTAAATAAAACTTTGCTTAATTTTTTTTAAGTCATTGCAAAATTGCAAAATTTAATGAAATTTTAAAAAATATATATATTTTTTTAGTTTTTAGATTTAGCATTGACTTTATCAATTCATCCAAGGAATAATTTCCTAATTTATATTATCAAGGACAAATTAAACAGATTTATGTTGTAGTGGTAATCTTTCTGTTGTAAAGGCTGGTTGTTATCATGTACATACTTATCGCCAAGTTACTTAAGCGACAGTAACATAGTAATAATCATTTGGTGTTATCATTAGTGTTTTAATTGCTTAGGGGGAGAAAAAGTTTTCACATTAGAATTTTCGAAATAACTACTTAAAAAAAAATTGGAACTTTAAAATCAACAAACAAATAAGTTTTCTTATGCTAGTTCCTCAAATAAAAAAGTATTTTTAAAAAAGTTATGTAGTTATTAAAAAAAATCATACTACAGTTAAGTTACGATACAATAAGTTTGCGTATGCCAATTTCTCAAATAATAAAAGAATAGGATTTGAAAAAATGTCGCGAATTTAAAATAAAAAATCGTCAACTCTAAATCGCACTATTTCGTGTTAACCAACTACTTACATCGCGCTAAAAAATCTCGCCGCACCATAACACTTCACACATTCTCCATATTATGCTGCAGCACAAAAATGAATCCCCTCACATCGTGCACCCGCCAATCGCAAATTCAAAGCCGACATAAACAATTATCGCGACAGTTCAAGTCGACATCGAATATCGTCGGTCGCGTTCGTATTTCGCGCGTCTGCATAAAGCTCGCGACTTTCCTTGTCAGGACCGATCAAAGCGGGCTTTTAATGTGCACTGCGACCTCGGCGGCGAACTTCCGAGTCGGGAGCTTACAAAGCACATGATTTCGGACAGGTGAAGTATGCCCGCGCGGAGTATGCGCACTCGTCCGCACGGGCTACACGCGGAGTTTCGCTGGCGCGGCAACGACCGACTTTCCGACAAGTTTTGTACGCTATCGCCGCTAAGTGACAGCTTCACGCGGTAAAAGCTCGGAGAAAAACTACGCGGGTTCGTTTTCTAGGTTTGTGCGCATTAATCGATGTCAACTGCAATTTATATTATTTGATAATTTACCTGAGTTTATTTTTTCCGCCGTAAGTTGGCACTTAACTTCGGTTACTTTAGTATTTCTTGCAATCATTATTAATCTTTTTTGTTTTCAGTACACAGTAGATAGTTCAAATAATAGATAGATAGACCAAAATCGTATGTATCGGCGCGTTCGGGGTAGCGCGTTTACGTGGAGACATAATTTTCCTCGATCGAGAATAATTATGATTTGTTTACATTACAATGTTTTCATAATAAATCTATTTGATAATATTTACTTACAGTGACCCAGCTTAAAAGATTCAGTTGCATTTTAATTATTCAAAGAGCTAAACCTACCATAAATGTGTTTACAGGTTCTCAATTATTTTAAATAAATCATTGCGGTCAGAGTAAAATTTACCGAGTAAAATTTTACTCGGAAAATTGCGTACGGCGATTATCACGAATCATGAAAGGTTAATCAAAACCTGTGCCCAATTGTTCTCACAGCTAAAATGATTGATGATTTTTAAATTTATTCAATAAGCAATATTATTTATCAATACCTTTGTCCAATACTTCAGCTGCGACTATTTTGAGGGTATGGTTGTCAATTAAAACATTTTGGATTATGTAAAAAAATAATCAGCTACCTAGCATACCCAAGAATTAAAAAGTAAAAGTATGAAAAAATTTTAATTGCATTAAAGCGCTTGTATCTGTATGTCTTCGTTTAAACCTCTCTCTTCATTTGGATAAATGTTTCGGCCGCTTTCGGGTGTTCGTCGCCGGTGACTCGGGTGATTTGGACAAATGCCACATTATAGCATTTGTGTTTTTCCCTAGAAAATTACCACTGTCAAACATATACGGAACCTGTTCAACAGAATCTTGAATCGGTGCAGGGATTTTTCGTTCGGGACGAATTGGAACCTTGAAATAGAATCCATTAGTTATTATTTTGATTGACTGAACGACTTAACTGAGAAAATAGTTGCGGTAAACCGTATTTGAGTCACGAGTTTTTTATTTGGTATGAGCGGAAGGCAGCGGAGCGAGTGTGTAATAAACGAGTCACTTTATAAACGTGTTGCATACTATACTTTTTCTGCTACTGTTAATTTTGGATATATTTTTGCAATAAAAAAACACGAATGCATTCACTGACATGACCGTCAGAATTGACGAACGTCAAAATTCAAGTCGTGCAGTAAAATCTCCGAAAACATTCCAGTGCTGTCAAACCTGTTAAGTAATGTGGGGGACAAGAAACTCACGTGGTAAGGTGTTGCTTTACGCACGCCAGATCGGTGTATAATTAGGTATTTGACAGAAGGGAGTAGAAAAGGTTATAATGTTTTTTCAGAAGCTTTAGATTACAACCTGCTTCCTGTAATTCTAATATAATTTCAAAAATTTGAGGGTTGTGTTATCATTCCATTTCTCTTTAATCGTCCTTTAACTGGAGGTTGACGGTAATATTAAAAATTCGGAGAAAACTGTAAAATAATTTATTTGTGTCCAATATGTTTATAATGGACAGTTAAAGTGAACAATCGGACAAGGCTTACATTGTGGTTCAATTCTTCTTTAATTTGTTAATTATTATCAATAATAAATGAATTAATTTTATTAATATTAGCATAGTAATTATTTTTCTTTTTAATGGACAAATACATACCTTATTATTCAAATTTGTATAATCTCGCTGTGCGTTCTACTCCGCCCGTGTAATTTCTGCGAATGGATACTGGATATTATAAAATGAAGGATTGTCACATAGTATCAAACTGAATTTCATAAGCTGAAATAGTTTTTTTGCGCTTACGTTGTATATTACAAAAACTGAATTCCATTATAGCGGCAAAAATAAAAGATGGTGTTCTTGTAACGATGTCATCGATATTTTTGAAGCAGACTATGGACGATCAGTTTAGTTCTTTATGGCATGTAGTTTGGTCACAAAAACCTTTACACACTGCCTGTCACTTTCTATCTAAAAATACTCTGAAATACTCAGACCAAGCTTGCGCAAAGTGCCATTTTAAGCCGTCAACCTAGTCAACTAGAGTCTAGTTCGATCAAATTCTCAACTGTTTCTCCTTCGGCATTGTCGATCGTGATTTCACCTCTCCATAATACGGCGTTAAATAAAAACTTCACTCTCCGCTTCTTCAACTTCAAAAATTTTGTTTGCCACGTAATCGCTTTTCTTCCAAATTCCTGATTTGCGAAAATTGCAGACCACCTCCAAAATCATCTGATATTCGTTAGCTCCTTTTTGCAATTTCTGACCTCACAGTCTGATAAAAATTGAGACAAAAAGAGACACTTCTAATCAATCAATCAAATGAAATAGTAACGAATCATAGTATCATTACTGCTATTGACTGCGAAATCGCTTATTAGAATGCCGCGTCAATGGTGTATCGGCAGTATGTGTGCATATCTGTGTGTACCTACAGCGCAATTGTCTGTCTTGCCAAATATCGATTGTGGAATCTTGTGGAAGCTATTGGGCATCCGAAACTGGATACGTCAGCTTCTCAGAATACAGTCGCCCTTACAAGTCACGATTAATTATTATTTTCGGTACCTTTGTTTACTCTGAGTTAGTAGTGGTTTAATGAAATCTAATAACTAACGTTTTGTACTCTAAAATTAGGCTTTTTTCTATTATCGTGAGTACCGATTCCTTGAAAACTCTTGCAACGTTTTGAACGGGATCATTCATCATTAGAAGGAAAAACAGAGTTCGTTTTAAATTTATCTTTTGCCTGAGCGGGTGCGGTAATTGTTTTTACTTTTCTTTCTTTTTCTCTTCGATAACCCAACGTCATCAATCAGGAAACTTTCAATCGGGATCTTATTTTCCGCTACCTGTCTTTTAGCATTGATTGTGGTTATTCTCGTCCAAGCGCAGGGTAGGTTACAAGAGCCGGTGTGAACAGAAGTTCATCTTTATCATTTAATCGTATAGACGCGAGACATTTCATATATTAATATTTTCTCATTGAGATTCATTTTGGGGGAACCGAAGTGGTGTATTACCGATTTTTAGCAACTCTCGTAGTACTACGGAGGAAGACTTAATGCAGGTAAATGAATGATACATTAATTAGTAAGTAATGCGGATGTGTGTGATAATTTGCATACAGCTCGCGACTTAAGTCTAACGCAAAGTGCAATGCGTCTGATTTCTTATGAGTATTTCCGAAATTTGCATCTTACTGTACTTAATCTGTATTGCTACGTTGCGTCGAATATACATATTCTATTAATGATGATCCTAACATTAGTATCTAGTTAATTTGGAGCACACGACCTAAATTTGTTGAAATATTATCTGATTAATTTTATATGGTTTCCTATTTTTAGATTTCGGTTTTAACATTTTTTGACAGGTATATACGTTCGTTCCTCTAACTAAAGAGGAACAAATTTGAATAAAATGACGAATCAACTTGTTGAAAAATAATTTTTGTCGGTAATATTAACACTATTTGTGGGATTTACATTTGTGAAAAATCTACAGGTTTAATGGGGCTATGTTATTCAGGATCCCATCGATTAACATTAAATACTACAGTAACGCAAAGGAAAAGAAATGTTTCATTAATTTTATAAAGGTTGAGAACATTATTGGAAGTTCCAAAAAATTTTACAAAATTTATGTGTTACGTCAGAAATTTTGTAGTCAAAGAAAAAACAAAAAATAGTCTTGTGTTTTGGTACTACTGTCACTTCACCGCTAACAGTCATGATTCGCTAAATCTTTGTTGAAAGTAGCATGCCAGTAAATAACTCTTGATAATAATTAGTTCGCGTTTGTAAATGTTTTTCATGGAATTAGCTACCGGTAATAGAAAAGCGGTTATTTTTACAGGGCTTTGTAATCAGTCCACTAAAAAGAACAACATTCAATTGCCATCTCAGAAAATTAGATAAAATTAACTAAAAATAATTTAAGACACCTATGAATGTATTTCACTGTTTCATGTACACGTCAAAACGGTGGATGAGTTTGTTATACATCGGAGCCCTAATAAGCCCGAGTAATGACGCTAGCATACGTATAACTAAAAGGATCTGTGATGGTTCGCAATCGATGTTAGTTCAAAATACTTATGTAAATCGACCTCAAGAATTACAATGATTAAAATGTACAAAACTTTAAATGTACCATTTTTTCTATATGGGTCGGAAACCTAGCAATATCAGATGAGACGTTAGTATGTACCTTCGAGAGAAAGATATCGAGAAAAATTTACTGGGCTGTCCAAGAGAGTAACATCTGTAGACCTATTTACAGCTTTGAGCTCGACAGCTTCTAAAGAGGAAACATAGAGATAATAATAACAGCTTAAATTGGCAGGCCTAGATGGGCAGTACTTGTAGCACCCTACAACAATAGCCAGGAACTTCGAGGCAATAGAGTTAGAGGAAGACCAAGGCTAAAATGGAGAGACCGAATCTTTGAAGATGTTGCAAAGACTGGTACAGCCAACTCTATGGTCTTGAAGGGACCCCCACGTAGCGCTGTAACACTGACGATGATGATGATGACAGTGAGAATTTTGGCTTTTTCTACACTACTATCAACTACTGTCTCACTTTAAAATTGTCGCACTCTCGCTGCTCCCAGAGAGAAGGATGCTATTCCAGACAATCCATTACCTATATGACTACGATAATAGACTCGTACAAAGTAGGTCCGCACGATTATGCTGACGTCTAGCGATTTTCCGGATCTCGATACGTTTTTACAATAGCAGAGAACAGACCTTCGTATAGACAAAAAGCAGCAACAAGTTGTAATGTCTGTCCTTGGGTCATAAAT